AAGTACTCTGCCACTGAAGGTCTGATCTTAGAATCAGGAGAGCTAATGGGCAAAGGCAAAATAAAAAAAAAGGTGCATGTGCAATAGGTGGGAGTGTTGAAGCTGATCTATAAATATTGCAAGCGCAGAAGGGATGTGCGGATTGTTAAATGAACAATTGCAATAAAAGAAAGGACGTTCCAAGCTATGGAATTAGAGGTAAAGGTTATAATTATTTAAAAAATAAAAGCAATAATACTGATGAATGTAATTTATAGTGATTCCAAAAAAGTTAAAAAAAACAACCACTGGACTTTGTTTTCCAAGTTTGAAGACGTTTCTACGGTGGCCTGGAGGTGCAAACCAACATTACAAAATCTAAAAAATTTTTAGATTTTGTATCAGAATCAGAAAACAAATTTACATAAAAGAATAAAAATAAACAAAACACTTTTAAAAATTCAAAACAAATAGCATTTTCAGAAAACAAAAAAAAAATATTCGAAACACTTTTACAAGTCCCAAAACAAATTACCGGTACCATTTGAGGAATTTAACCAGAAAGGGTGGGTACTAACTCCGAGGCTGAACCGGTCTGTTCCCGCTGTGTCGGGAGCACGCATCGCAGCCAGAGAGGCGGATCTGACCATTTTCAAGGCGCTCCTGATCGGTGAAAACAGCTCATATAATCATGTCATCTTTGTAACATTCAGTTTAATCGGTTGCTCTTTTTACTGATTTGTAAAATAAATACATTATCGAGGTCATCTTACGCTGTTCTGTGTTGTTTTTTTTTAAACGCCAAGAGAGTCGGTATTTCTCCAACTTTTGTCCCTTCAGCCTGACAGAAATAAACGTCAGTCACCAAACACACAAATACGTAGTTTTTTTTATTTTTCATTGCTGATATAAGAGGATGGAAACTGGCTGATATCAGGGCACAAAAATTAAGACGTCCTGCGAAGATGAGAGTACAATTTCTGGTTAATCCCCTTCTAATGTAAAACATGACAGATTGCTGGATTAGGGACATTTCTAGTTTAACATATCAATATCAATTTTAGAGAAATTGGAAACAGTTGATCTTTATTTACCTCCACGTGAGGAGGAGAGGAGAGAATGGATGTTTCAGCTGCCTGAAATAATCTGTTCCCCTCCATAACATGGGAAGAAATTAACGTACCTGCAAGTCTTTAACTGTGCTTATTCCTCTGACCATCAACAACAAAAATATGACCAAATCCTGTGGATTTGGTCATATTTACTCTTTATTTGCCATAATTAAAAGAGAATGAAATGACGCCTCTCTGGCTGCAATGCGCGCTCCCGACACAGCGTGAAGAGAAACAGAATTTCACACAAGACCAGTTGTTTTGTTTCCTGAAATGTTAATTTGTTTTGGAACTTGTAAGGTGTCTTTTAAAATGTAAATTTGTTTTCTGAAATGATCATTTGTTTTGGAACTTGTAAAAGTTTTTTAGATTTTGTAATGTTGGTTTTCACCTCCCGGCCACTGTACATTTCGCCTTCCATCCAGGAAGCTTTCTCGATCGATTCAAAATCTCTGCGTTGAGGCTTCATACAGTAGCCCAACAAATGCTTAGAAAACATGCAATAGAACAGAAAGAACAGATCTAGTAACGGGGAGTCGCTGAGGTTGCAAGCTGGAGGATTTTGTTTTTTACGTTTTTTGGAATGGCTATGACCGAGATGACTGAGAATCTTCACCAGCATAATTTAAAGAGCACTTTACATTAAATATTCTGAGGCACTACAACTAAAAACAACAGCAAAAATAAAAGATGAAAAGAAAAAGTTAAAAAATATTTAACATCAATCATAAAACCTGGAAAAGCTGACTTTATCTGCACCTTGATCGTCGCCCCGTTTCTAACAGAAAAAGAGCCGCATTCAGACTTACAGCAAGACTAAGTTCAACACATCTTTATTTACCTCCAACAGCACAGAAAAGGAAGAGAAACAAGGAAACCCTGGAGTGAAATATCTACACACCTGCAGTTAAAAACAACATTTAAATTTTTGAAAAAATAGCTCAGCCCTCTACTCAGGAGCAGCTTTAGGTTGCAGTCAAGACTAACGTATGAGCTTCTAAGAAAAGTCACTAACTACACTGTGAAGAGAGAGAGATTTGTGTTTCAGCATTCTGCAGTTTGAGTCTTAGTGCTTTTTAGGTTCATCTTAAATATAAAACAAATCTATTTTTTACCTGACGCTGACAATCTGAGGCAGACGATTGAAAAGTGGACACGAGTGGATGCTTGGAAGGAAAACAATTCCAACCAACTTTAAGATTTGTTTATGACTGAATAGAGCTGCTTCATGTTAAAGATCTTATATGGTCAAAATCCCCAAAACTGTGTAAAATGTGGGAAGTATGTTTGGTTTGACCCAAGTATCCCACTAATCCAAATGACCTCCATCCACTCTGCCAAGAAGGAAAGTCAACAATCCAAGCAGCTGTTCTGGTATTTACCATTTAATCTAAACATTAGTGAGGCTCTGTGTACATATTGGAGAAATTATTTTTAGTTTAAAGAAAACCCTCAATAAATTCAAACTTGTGCATCAAATTCTTTACCTGGAAATTTATTAAAGCTGATTGTTGCATAATAGTAAAAGTAAAATCATATTCAACCAGATGAATATGAAAAATACAATATGCATTGCAAATAAAGTCTTTAAAATAAAGCTTATTGTTTTTACCTGAAGAAGAAGATAAGAGCATCGTCGTCTGGTTTAGCAACATTTTCGGTGCTTATCACCAAGACATTTGACGCATCTGAAAGAAAAACATGACGGTAAGAAAAAGTTAATGCAGCAGTATATGGCAAGCCTTTTTAACATAAATTCGGTTTTGTCTGACCATCCATAATTATGTTCCAGATATGTTAAAATACATTTTGACTAGACAACACCACATTTTGACTATCCGGAATGGTAATTTAAGATATTTGTATTTACATTCTGATTAGGAAGAATAATTCAAGATATCTTAAATTACGACACCGGATTTGTCATTTAAAGCGTCACACGCTAATTTAACTTTTCCTCCTTTGGATTTAACTGTTAGTAAGGAATTTCTTAGGATAATCTTCCTGGAAGCATATTAAAAAGATCATTACACATTTTGACTAGTCAGAATGTCAATTTAAGATATCTTCAATCGAAAAGCTGAATAATTCAAGATATCTTTAATTCATTTAGAGATATCTTAAAAGGAATTTCGAATACTCAAAATTGCAATTCAAGATATCTTTAAATTTTTTTTGTCTAGTCATCACTTGCTTTTAAGACATCTATAATTGAGTTTTCACTAGTCAAAACTGGATATCTGATATCCTAAAACACATTAAAGATATCATGAATTATGGTGGCATTTGAGATACCTTTAATTAGAATTATGACTAGTCAAAACTAAAATTGAGATATCTTGAAATTAGTTTATGACTAGTTTTAATTTAATCGTATAAATCTGAAATCTGTATTTCAGACAGTCAATAATTGAATCTAGATATCTTAAATTGTCGTCTCCATACAAGTTAATTGTAAATCTGACGTCATTTCGACTAGTCAGAATGTAATTAGAGATATCTTAAATCGCTAAAACATCTAGTCATAAAACAATTTGAGATATCTTGAATGTGAAGGCGGTACAACCGAATTAATGTTAAAACGGCTTGCCAGAAATGCATGCCTAAGAGTCAATCAGCTGCTGAGGTGAGTTATAATATCACATGGAGCATACCTCTTGGTAAATCTATTTCTTGAAAGCCGTGGTTCACCAAGTCATGGCTAAGTGTTGGTAAATGATACTGGTCAGCTGTTGCAAAGGCAATGCATTGCATCATATCCTGTAGGAAAAAAATCCCACCTGTATTATTAGCTGAACCTATTATAGACATGCAACAAAAACAAAACAATCACTAATTTCACCACACAGTGAATCACCTCATCCTCTTTCATAGAAGGCTGGTTTGCCCGAGAAGGCTGCTTGGTTCGCGGTCCTTTAGGAAGCCTTTTTCCTTTAGCAGGCACCACAGCTGGTTTTAATGTCGGCTTAAGGACTGACTTTACAATGTTAGTTGAATAAAAACGTCCCTGATCATATGTGAAAAGAGGAAGACGATCATTTTTAAATCGCCCCACAGATTTATGCATCTGCTGCTGGTGAAGTGTATTTAAACAAAACTTCTTTGTGACTGTAGATGACCAGGGCTGAATCCTGGGGGTGGAGGTATTACCAGTGGGCTTTAAACGTTGGGTGAGAGGGGCTGAAGCAACAATACATGCTGGTTTGCCCCCAGCGAGCTGCTGGGCTCCCAGTCTAGTCAGCAATGTCCGAAGAAGCATCTTCCTCTGACCGATGCAAAGAGGGTCTGCGATATGAGGGGCAGGGAGGAAACACAGGATTAAGATATTTTAATGGTACAATGACAATAAATGGTTAAGCATTTTTTTTCTCTATTCTTCAAAAACTGTGCAGCACCTAATTTAATTTTACACATCTTTAAAAAAAAATCAAACGCAAAAAAAGCGAGAATCAGAGTTCCTAAAACTGACCTGATAAGAAAGGCTAAAAATGTCCCTACTTGTGATGTCATAATGTTTACACTTAGACTGAGATAAAAGGCATGGTATAAACAAAATACCAACAAAAAAAAATCTTCTTTATATGTATATTCATACTTAAAACATCTTAACAAAGAACTAAAGTAAAAGAATGTTGTTTGTGCGCAAAAAAGCGCTTATTGACGGTGATAACTCCAGAGCATGTAATAACCTCTGAATACATGCTAACAGGCAGCATGCTACTGAGCAGCGAGCAAACTCAGACTTTGACTCACCAAGGATGGAAAACGAAGCCTCCTGAAATGAGCCAGTGTTGAATTAGTCCTTTAAACAGCGGAAAATAGCAACGATATAAGAAAAACTGAGCTTTATTCAACTGTTTGACAGCTTGTCTGATTGACCCAGGAGGCGTGTTTCTCTTCGCCCGGGATGAGAACGATGCCAACTTCCGGTTTGACGTCAAATAATGAAAGGGTATTTTAGGTCCCGTTTTTTTGACTTGAAGGTAAAACTCATGTTAAAACTCCATGAACCACTTAATTTACTTCTACAATGTGCCGCACGAGTCACATAACGGGATATTTATTAATATCGCTCAAAATAAAGATAACAATGTGATGTGTTTAAATTGATTTCACTTTTAGTTGCGATTATACACGGAATCTTACGTTATGTCAACCTAAATCGATCAGAATTCCTGATTGATTATAGCTATCTCTTTAAAGAAAGTAAACAGACCTGAAGAACTTGTTTCACCCCCGTGTGGTTTTGTGAACCTGTAAAAAATGTATAAGACGGTCACAACAAAAACACGCTTTTTTAAGTTTATCTAGTGTACAAGGTGTACCTGAACGCAACCTAATGTTGCAATATTATTGGCATTATTATCACTAATCTCTATTTATTCACTGGATTGCTGATTGCCCGTTGGTTGCACGGGGTTGAAGTGAAGCCACCGGCCGCCATATTGGTACTCCATAGTTAGACCGGTCATAGCATTAGTACTTTAGCTTATAGTAAAAAAAAAAAAAAAAAATATATATATATATATATAGGCACATCACATTGCATAGTCATTAAGAAGTCAATGAAGTCTCTAGATCATGTGATATAACAATAAAATTAATGTGTTAATGGAGCATAATGATACAGATGTGCCAAAAGTATATATATATATATATATATATATAT